CGATCCCGACCTGCACCTCCGATCCCGACCTACACCGCCAATCCCGACCTACACCTCCAATACCGACCTACACCGCCGATCCCGACCTACACCTCCAATCCCGACCTACACCTCCGATCCCGACCTGCACCTCCGATCCCGACCTACACCTCCGATCCCGACCTGCACCTCCGATCCCGACCTACACCTCCAATCCCGACCTACACCTCCAATACCGACCTACACCGCTGATCCCGACCTACACCTCCAATCCCGACCTACACCTCCGATCCCGACCTGCACCTCCGATCCCCACCTACACCTCCGATCCCGACCTGCACCTCCGATCCCGACCTACACCTCCAATCCCGACCTACACCTCCAATACCGACCTACACCGCCGATCCCGACCTACACCTCCAATCCCGACCTACACCGCCAATCCCGACCTACACCTCCGATCCCGACCTACACCTCCGATCCCGACCTACACCTCCAATACCGACCTACACCTCCAATCCCGACCTACACCTCCAATACCGACCTACACCGCCAATACCGACCTACACCTCCAATCCCGACCTACACCGCCAATCCCGACCTACACCTCCAATCCCGACCTACACCTCCGATCCCGACCTACACCTCCGATCCAAACCAGCGCTGCCCCACAGAAAATATGCTGCCTCCTTATTTGAATAAAATAACATGAAATAAAAGGAGCTTCAAAGCAAAACCACTAGTGCTGTCAAAATTATCGCGTTATTAACGCGTTAACGCGAGGCCATTTTAACGGCGATAATTTTTTTAACGTGAGATTAACGCTATATGGTTTTATGGTACAATTTTCCAAGTACATCCCGCTGCAGCCTGCGAGGAGGCGGGGCTATTTTCCCCCAGTCTATGCATTTCTCATAGGCTTCGAGAGCGGAGCTCCTCAAGGGAAAGAGACACTCATACACTGGGTGGCGCTAGTGCCTTTTCTTTAAGCCCCATCACCAACAAACAAGTTGAGTGTCTGGTAACTAGTAGCAACCTGAAATACGCTGAGAAAACAGATTACTGAGGTGAAATGGAATCTGCTACGGCACTCTTGCCGTCTGTGTACGCCACAGGTCGGTATCGCGTGTGTGTGTGTGGGTGTGTGTGTGTGGGTGTGTGTGTGTTCTCATTTTTGTTAAGAGGCTGAAAAGTAACTTTCTAGAGCATAGACTACCTCCATCTAGTGATGTCGGTCTATTGATTTTGATGTATTGATTGAAAATTGTTCATTATTATCTTGGTTAATTAACATCTAATGTTAACTGTACTACATTTTATAGCAGTAGGGTAAAATGCTTGTCTTTGTTAAAAAGACTGTATTGACTGTAAAGACTGTCTTTTACATCAGCCTGTTTTCAGGGCCTTTTTTTGGCTACATATTTGTTATTTTTTGCTACATGCCTCCCCATCTTCTTGCCATATGTTTCTATGGCATAAATCAGTATCTGTGACCTGTTTTCATAAAAAAAAAAAAGAACATTGGCACAAACCTAGCCTGTATGTATTTTTTGTATGTCATCGAGAGTATTTAAATGATTTTCAATCAGGAAAAAAATGTGCGATTAAAATGCGATTAATCGCGAGTTAACTTAGGCATTGATGCGATTAATCGCGATTAAAAAAATTTTAATCGATTGACAGCACTAAAAACCACACTTAAAAATATAAAAGCCACTGAATAGGTGAAGTAGCTTTACAAAATAAAAGTGTCACAAAATAATTGTCATGAAATAAAAAAATAATCCAATAAATAAATTAAGTAATTTTCTTGAAACAAAATAAGATAAATATTGTACCATATATTTTAATTCACAGGAATGTTTATTGACAAATTATTTCTTTACCTCTTTAATTTTGAAAGAACCTTTACCTGTAGTTGTAATTCCAAGAATGTTCCGAGCAGCGATGAACAGGTCGTCTATCGGATCAACCAGATGTTTGATGTTCACTTCTCTCATGTTGTAATAATTTCCATCCTCAGCCCGGCCGCTGCGCTCTATCGCCACCAGGTGGTCGAACCTGGCAGAAACAGGTTTTCATTTTCAGGAGTTCAGGAGGAGTGAAGACCAATTAGCAGGGAAGGAGGTGCAGGAGGTGGAGAAGGTGGTGGTGGAGGAGCAGGAGGAAGTGGAAGGGGAAAATGTGAAAAACTAATCACATTTGCTGTTTTCTTAGACTTATTTTCTCAAAATGTTTTTGTCACATTTTCTTTTCATATTTTATTTTTCAAATCTCATTTTATCTTATTTCTAAGAAGTTTTTTTATTTTTCAGATTGAGATCTTTGAATTTCATTCTTTTCTAATTCTGATCATATTCTCTTTACTTCCGGGGGGCTTTCCTCTGGAATGAGGAAATTTGTAAAACTATCTGAATTTAAAAAATACAATTTTAAAACACGTAAAAAGTTAAAAAATATACAACTTGGGAAAAAAATTCTTCAATTTAGAAACATGGCAGTTTTTTCCAACTCTGTCACTTATTCTGTTATTTTTATAGACCTTTTAAGATAAAAAGTTTAGTGACCATTTTTGCTGTAATCCTCTTCGCGGGCGCTCTCCCTTTTTCCTTCAAGTTCAGGTCCTCTAGCAGAGGCCTGGGAGCTTGAGGGTTCTGCACAGTATTTCTATATAGTGTATATATATATTTTATACATATATATATATATATATGTTTCTTCAGTAATGTCTTTCAAAGCTCTGATGTCACAATCCATCGATTCAAAGTGAAATACGCCGCAGTGCTGAGGCATCCTTCTTCTGTTCTGGTTAAACCAGCAGGTTAAGGTAGCAGGTCGACCTTCCCAAGATGGCGCCCGTAATTCCTGCGCCGCTACAGTCAATACAGGGTCTACTCTTATATGTATGTCTATGTAACATCTGACCTGGGCTTCCTGGGGTTTCCATGGTGACACAGGAAGTGCAGAGCGGAGTCAGGGCCATGGTCTTCATAGGTGACCAATGGGATTGCAGCTTTGAGGACCCCTGGTGGACAATAAACGTCACATCTAGTGTCACCTTTAAATCTGAACACCTGATGATGATGATGTGAAGGCTCACCTGTCCTCACTGCTTCGTCCACCAGAGCGCTGTTCATCTCTGCCGCTCTGCTGTCCGTCAAAAACGTCACCTGTTTTCCTAGAGACAACAACATGGTTGCTATGGCGATGGCTCCAGGTGGACCATCAGTCTCATCAGGAGGGCTAAACAGGAAACAGACGAGAACATCTGAGGTCATGTTATCAGAGGTAGAAGAATATCCTGGTTCCAGTTGTTGATAGCGTTCTCCAGTGACGGAGATGTTAGCAGAACCCGACATTTATTCCCGACTCAAAGCATTTCAGACGTAGAACGAGAGAACATGAGCAGAGAAGGTCTCCTGACTGCTGAGGTGAGAGAGAACACAGAAGCTCTGAGACATGGAGGAGATCCATGGACCTCTAGAAACAGTTTGAACCTTTGCTTTCTGAGAAACACCTGAAGGTCAGGCTGACAGCTGAGGAACCTCTGAGGAACCTGCTGGAACATGATGGACCATCTCTGAATGGTACCTCAGTGATCTCAGGTTCTGTAGTGGTTCCTCCTGACCAGGACCAGAACCTGGTGCAGGAAGCTCAGTGAGAACTGATGGTCTGGTACCAGATGGTGGGACTGATGCTCTTTCTAAACGGCTCTGGACCTTTTTTGCTCACTGATCTTAAGAATGAAGAAAATACATGAAACAGAAAAAAAGGGGAGAAATGGATTCTGAGAAGAACCCAGAGTGTTTCTGGAGGAGAAGAAGCAACATCAGGAAGCCAATCCTGGTTTTTATGGCTAAAGGAACCAACAGGTTAGAAGATGCCTCTGCATGCTCCCCATGCAGACACTGAAGAACAGAAGTTTCACCTGGACCGCTCCGCCTTCTTCTGAAGACTAACCCAGATCTTCTCCTGAGGAACAATGCAAGCTGCAGCAAAAACAGGCTGACGGTTAATTCCTGCAGAACCTGGTGTGGAGTCATTCTGGAGCAGAACCAGAACCAGCTGAGGCCCGCCCTCTGATGACCCCTGCTGGTGACAGGTGAGCAGCTTACCTGTGCATGTAGTTTGTGGGGAACCCGGTTGTTATGGCAACAGAGGAGGCGTGGGAGAGCGCCAAGCAGGAGAGCAGGAGTTCATCTTGGACCAGAAGGGCTTTGATGCCTCTCTGACCTGCAGACACAGATGGAGAAGCTGTAACTGGAGCTCTCTGGTTCTGCTGGTTCTACTGGACCAGTGAGTCAGTGAGGAGAACCAAGGACCATGAAGACCTTGGAGGAACTAGTTCTGTTCTTCCTGTCTGGATGGATGAATGTCCACCACAGCATCCAGAGCCAACATGTTCTGATATCACAGAAGCAGACTAGAACCTCCTCCTCAGTTCTAGGAGGTTTATGATGGAAACCTTGATGGTTTTGGGTCATTTCAGACCCCCCAGTGGAGGCCTACCTGGGTCGTCCCCGATGACCCGCTCCAGCTGCCGGATCTTCTCCACCGCTGCCTTGGACGCCAGGCTGTAGAGCTGTGGGTTCTGGGTCACCTGGAAGCAGAGCGGGGTCAGCCCGGATTCTGGGGTCGGAGAGTCTGGGACGTCGGTCAGGAACATGCAGCCAGGCGAGTGACTGAATGCCAGAGATGGTTCTGAAAAAGATCCACAACAAACCGTCAGGATTCTGTGATGGTCGGACCGTGGAGGTCCAGTGGGTCACGGCGCTCACTGCTGCTCAGGATGGCCTCGATGGAAGTCACTCCACAGGCCCAGAAGACCGGAACATCGCCTGGCTGGGGCTCCACCGGGTCACCGTAGTCCGGTTTGGACAGGTCCTGGATCCCCAGGACAGCTGGACACAAACAGACAGGATGAGCTGCAGATCTTCTCCTGTCCCACAGGGTCCAGCTCTCTGGTTCCCAGTACCTGGATCTCCTATGTGAACCGGAGCTCCATGAGCCAGAGGGTTCTGGTGGGTCACCTCCACGGCTGCATCCAGGAGTCCGGCTGGGACCGGGCGCATGGTGACCACCAGGGGGCAGCAGAAGGCTCCTCTGGGAACACAGCTGACAGCCGTCTGTGGAGGAAACCCAGACAGCGGCAGGAAGTGAGGAAAGCCAGAGGCATCATGGGAAACCAGCTCCAGAACTTCCTCCCTCTGGTTTGAGACGTAGAATCCTGAGGCTTAAACCAACAGACTGAAAAAGTGCAGAATGATTTACATCCCGTCACAGATGCTTTTATCCTTTTCCTGTTGTTTATTGAACGATTGTTTACAGAAGCGTTTCTGTTTCTACTGGTTTATGGCAATTTGATGATCAATTCTATTCAGTTTATTTCTATAGCTCCAATTCACATCATGTCATCTCAGGTCACTTTCCAGTTCACCAGATCATCCAGTCAGATTGATTCAAAGTTTTCTATCTAAGGAAAACCAGCTGATTGCATCGACTCATTGACTCTTCAGCAATCCCTCACACTAAGCATGCTTGTAGCGACAGTGGAGAGGAAAAACTCCCTTTGAACAGGAAGAAACCTCCAGCAGAACCAGGCCTACACTGTGATGAACCGACTGGTGATGACGGTCCACACAGTGACATCTAGGTGTCCAGGGTCTTTGGCCCCCCCATCATCATTATCATCCTCCACCACCGTACTCTGCGTCTGTCTGCGCTATTTGTGTCATGATCTTGGCGCTGACGTCCAGTCTGATTACTAATTTCCTTCGATTGCCTAGCCCCGCCCAGTTTCTCCTTACGGTTCATGTGATCCACCTGCTTCAGCATCTATTTAACTTGTCTTCATCCACTCACCAGTGCCAGAATATTCTAACCTTTGGTGAGAGTTCTGATCCTGACCCGTTCTGCTGTTCTGAGCTGCCTGTTCCTACTACCTCAGCTGCTGCCTGGGTGGACAATGGATCTGGGTCGTACCCGGTACATGCTGACGTTCCGACCTTGCTCCACGTTCCTAACAGGGATTCCAGCTTCCTTCAGTTTTCCCTCGAAGCCGAAGCTGCAGCCCAGGTAGAAGGTGACCATGTCTGCCAGCATGTTCTGTTGCTCCGACCCGGTCCTGCTCAGACAGAGACGATCTGTTCACAGCAGTAAACAGCGGATGAGTGTCTGGTTCTGGTAACCAACCTATGCTGGTTGCTGTAGCTCTGCAGACCGGAGACGGTCTTCACCAGGCGACCTTCCTCATACACACAGTATTCAGGGATATCGGTCCTGCAGATACAGGAGGAACCACAGGTGTTTGAACGTCTCCAGTGTTCGTCAGGTGATGTAACATCCTGGACCGGTTTGGTTCCATCTCAGAACACAGAACATCCGGCAGAACTAAACTAACTGAGTTCTGTTTCACTTAGTGGTGAGAAAGAGAAACATTAGGAAAAATAATTTGGTTTGATACCTGATGTCAGCATTTTTAGCCAGAGAGGAACAGGAAGGCTCTCCTGATTGGCTGCGATACAGGAGCGGTAAGGGGGCGGAGTTACAGTGACAGAAGTCCTCAAAGTCATCAGCCAGGTGGCTCGGCAGAACCACGACGTTAGCCTGCTGGTATCCTGGCAGGAACACATTTCATGCATCAATGAACATCTGAACAGGAGGCATCACTGCTGGGATTTAATGAAGAAATGTGAAGAAATGTCAATAATTCTATAATCTGAGTCAGATTTACAGGGGGGGGGGGGGTAGACTTTCTGAGGGCGGCGTTGTAGAGATGGATGACCGCAGGCAGGAAGGACTTCCTGTAGCGCTCTGTGGTGCATCTGGGTCAGAGGAGCTCCTCTGCTGGGCCAGTGTGTCATGGAGACTCCTGTCTGCCACAGTGGTCAGAGGGTCCAGCTCCTCCCCCACAACATCACCCGCCCTCCTGATCAGTTGGTTTGGTCTGCCACCCCCAGCCCGCCCCCCCAGCATGTGACGTCAAAGAAGATGCTGCTGGCAGCAACAGACTCAGAGAACATCCTCAGCAATGTCCAGCAGATGTTAGCAGACCTCAGCCTCCTTTGGCCCTTTTTGTAGACCGCCTCAGTGTTTCTAGACCACTCCAACCCTCCCAGGTATTATACTCCTCCACAGTCACAGGGACCGCTGGATGGAAACAGGACTCACAGGTTCTTGGCTTCCTCAGATCCACTATTGGCTCCTTAGTCTTTGTCACTTTGAGCTGCAGATGGTTCATAACCATCAGCAAGTGCTTCTTGTCTGTGAACCAACCAGGATTCATAGATTTTAAACCTCACCCTGCTCAGACGTTCTATGAAACCTACTAGGCTGACTGAATAAGACTCGGCTGGCCTCTTAACCACCTTCATCCTAGAGTCATCCTCTTTTTGATAAACAGCTCTCTGTTTCCTGCTAACCACCAAAGTTCTAGTTAAATTTTACTCCGATGTTTAAGGCCTTCAATCATTCTAAGGTTCAAATGAACATATTATTTCTTAATATTAATTATTTTCATTCTTTAATTTAGCAATTGTTTCATGAAAAATTGAATAAATCTTAAACTTGTCTCACATTGGAAAGCTGCTATAGGTTTAGGCTGCTGGAGGAAATAAAGACCACTTCTCCTCCCTCTGCTAATGGTCCCAGTGCTCTCTGATTAGGCACCATCTTCAGGTCTGAAGCAATAACTTCATGTTTCATAGAAGCTGAGAGGAAACCTAAGCTGTTCTGGAGCAGAAGTGCAGTAAGAACAAATGGACAGAGCAGCGATATCTGTGGGTTCAGTAGACTGAACTAGATCCACAAACATCGGCAGGAAGTGGAGAATGAATAACCACATAGCTATAACACCCAGAGGCCTGGAAAATCCCTGAGAAGATAAGCCCAGCGGCTGCAGGAGGAAAGAGCAACGGTCAGCAGATACTACAGGTCTTACCGTGTGCCAAGCCAGTGGTGGTTCTTATTCCGGGGTGGTTCTGCCTGATTAACAACCGCAGTTCAGCTGGACTGAGATGACTTAAATTATGGACTTGATGCATATCTAGATGTGGATTATAAACTGCTGTAAGGTCTGCACTGCTGTCTGGAATCACAGGGAGCTAAAGACCTGGAGGGGAGAATGTCTGCAGCTTTCTGTTAATGTTTGAGAGGAGAGCAGACGAAGAGATTAACCTTTGGAAGAGCAACAGGCAGCAACTACTAGATCAGCCAGTAACGGATCAGCCAGTAACGGATCAGCCAGTAATCAGCCAGTAACGGATCAGCCAGTAACGGATCAGCCAGTAACGGATCAGCCAGTAATTAGCCAGTAACGGATCAGCCAGTAACGGATCAGCCAGTAATCAGCCAGTAACAGATCAGCCAGTAACGGATCAGCCAGTAATCAGCCAGTAACAGATCAGCCAGTAACGGATCAGCCAGTAACAGATCAGCCAGTAACGGATCAGCCAGTAACGGATCAGCCAGTAACAGATCAGCCAGTAATCAGCCAGTAACGGATCAGCCAGTAACGGATCAGCCAGTAATCAGCCAGTAACGGATCAGCCAGTAATCAGCCAGTAACGGATCAGCCAGTAACGGATCAGCCAGTAACGGATCAGCCAGTAATCAGCCAGTAACAGATCAGCCAGTAACGGATCAGCCAGTAATCAGCCAGTAACAGATCAGCCAGTAACGGATCAGCCAGTAACAGATCAGCCAGTAACGGATCAGCCATTAACGGATCAGCCAGTAACGGATCAGCCAGTAACAGATCAGCCAGTAATCAGCCAGTAACAGATCAGCCAGTAACGGATCAGCCAGTAATCAGCCAGTAACGGATCAGCCAGTAATCAGCCAGTAACAGATCAGCCAGTAACGAATCAGCCAGTAACGGATCAGCCAGTAACGGATCAGCCAGTAACAGATCAGCCAGTAACGGATCAGCCAGTAACGGATCAGCCAGTAACGGATCAGCCAGTAACGGATCAGCCAGTAATCAGCCAGTAACGGATCAGCCAGTAACGGATCAGCCAGTAACGGATCAGCCAGTAATCAGCCAGTAACGGATCAGCCAGAAACGGATCAGCCAGTAACGGATCAGCCAGTAACGGATCAGCCAGTAAGAGACCAGCCAGTAACGAATCAGCCAGTAACGGATCAGCCAGTAACGGATCAGCCAGTAATCAGCCAGTAACGGATCAGCCAGTAACGGATCAGCCAGTAACAGATCAGCCAGTAACGGATCAGCCAGTAACAGATCAGCCAGTAACGGATCAGCCAGTAACAGATCAGCCAGTAACGAATCAGCCAGTAACGGATCAGCCAGTAACGGATCAGCCAGTAACGGATCAGCCAGTAACAGATCAGCCAGTAACGGATCAGCCAGTAACGGATCAGCCAGTAACGGATCAGCCAGTAATCAGCCAGTAATGGATCAGCCAGTAACGGATCAGCCAGTAATCAGCCAGTAACGGATCAGCCAGTAACGGATCAGCCAGTAAGGGATCAGCCAGTAACAGATCAGCCAGTAACGGATCAGCCAGTAATCAGCCAGTAACGGATCAGCCAGTAACGGATCAGCCAGTAACGGATCAGCCAGTAATCAGCCAGTAACGGATCAGCCAGTAATCAGCCAGTAACGGATCAGCCAGTAAGGGATCAGCCAGTAACAGATCAGCCAGTAACGGATCAGCCAGTAATCAGCCAGTAACGGATCAGCCAGTAACGGATCAGCCAGTAACGGATCAGCCAGTAATCAGCCAGTAACGGATCAGCCAGTAATCAGCCAGTAACAGATCAGCCAGTAACGGATCAGCCAGTAATCAGCCAGTAACGGATCAGCCAGTAACGGATCAGCCAGTAACAGATCAGCCAGTAACAGATCAGCCAGTAACGGATCAGCCAGTAACAGATCAGCCAGTAACGAATCAGCCAGTAACGGATCAGCCAGTAACGGATCAGCCAGTAACGGATCAGCCAGTAACGGATCAGCCAGTAATCAGCCAGTAACGGATCAGCCAGTAACGGATCAGCCAGTAACGGATCAGCCAGTAATCAGCCAGTAACAGATCAGCCAGTAACGGATCAGCCAGTAACAGATCAGCCAGTAACGGATCAGCCAGTAACAGATCAGCCAGTAACGGATCAGCCAGTAACAGATCAGCCAGTAACGAATCAGCCAGTAACGGATCAGCCAGTAACGGATCAGCCAGTAACGGATCAGCCAGTAATTAGCCAGTAACGGATCAGCCAGTAACGGATCAGCCAGTAATCAGCCAGTAACGGATCAGCCAGTAACAGATCAGCCAGTAACAGATCAGCCAGTAACAGATCAGCCAGTAACGAATCAGCCAGTAACGGATCAGCCAGTAACGGATCAGCCAGTAACGGATCAGCCAGTAACGGATCAGCCAGTAATCAGCCAGTAACGGATCAGCCAGTAACGGATCAGCCAGTAACGGATCAGCCAGTAATCAGCCAGTAACGGATCAGCCAGTAACGGATCAGCCAGTAACGGATCAGCCAGTAAGAGACCAGCCAGTAACGAATCAGCCAGTAACGGATCAGCCAGTAACGGATCAGCCAGTAATCAGCCAGTAACAGATCAGCCAGTAACGGATCAGCCAGTCATCAGCCAGTAACAGATCAGCCAGTAACGGATCAGCCAGTAACAGATCAGCCAGTAACGGATCAGCCAGTAACGGATCAGCCAGTAACGGATCAGCCAGTAACAGATCAGCCAGTAATCAGCCAGTAACGGATCAGCCAGTAATCAGCCAGTAACGGATCAGCCAGTAACGGATCAGCCAGTAACGGATCAGCCAGTAACGGATCAGCCAGTAATCAGCCAGTAACGGATCAGCCAGTAACGGATCAGCCAGTAACGGATCAGCCAGTAATCAGCCAGTAACAGATCAGCCAGTAACGGATCAGCCAGTAATCAGCCAGTAACAGATCAGCCAGTAACGGATCAGCCAGTAACAGATCAGCCAGTAACGGATCAGCCAGTAACGGATCAGCCAGTAACAGATCAGCCAGTAACAGATCAGCCAGTAATCAGCCAGTAACAGATCAGCCAGTAACGGATCAGCCAGTAATCAGCCAGTAACGGATCAGCCAGTAATCAGCCAGTAACAGATCAGCCAGTAACGAATCAGCCAGTAACGGATCAGCCAGTAACGGATCAGCCAGTAACAGATCAGCCAGTAACGGATCAGCCAGTAACAGATCAGCCAGTAACGGATCAGCCAGTAACGGATCAGCCAGTAACAGATCAGCCAGTAACGGATCAGCCAGTAATCAGCCAGTAACGGATCAGCCAGTAACGGATCAGCCAGTAACGGATCAGCCAGTAACAGATCAGCCAGTAATCAGCCAGTAACAGATCAGCCAGTAACGGATCAGCCAGTAATCAGCCAGTAACGGATCAGCCAGTAATCAGCCAGTAACAGATCAGCCAGTAACGAATCAGCCAGTAACGGATCAGCCAGTAACGGATCAGCCAGTAACAGATCAGCCAGTAACGGATCAGCCAGTAACAGATCAGCCAGTAACGGATCAGCCAGTAACGGATCAGCCAGTAACAGATCAGCCAGTAACGGATCAGCCAGTAATCAGCCAGTAACGGATCAGCCAGTAACGGATCAGCCAGTAACGGATCAGCCAGTAATCAGCCAGTAACGGATCAGCCAGTAATCAGCCAGTAACAGATCAGCCAGTAACGGATCAGCCAGTAATCAGCCAGTAACGGATCAGCCAGTAACGGATCAGCCAGTAACAGATCAGCCAGTAACAGATCAGCCAGTAACGGATCAGCCAGTAACAGATCAGCCAGTAACGAATCAGCCAGTAACGGATCAGCCAGTAACGGATCAGCCAGTAACGGATCAGCCAGTAACGGATCAGCCAGTAATCAGCCAGTAACGGATCAGCCAGTAACGGATCAGCCAGTAACGGATCAGCCAGTAATCAGCCAGTAACGGATCAGCCAGTAACGGATCAGCCAGTAACGGATCAGCCAGTAACGGATCAGCCAGTAAGAGACCAGCCAGTAACGAATCAGCCAGTAACGGATCAGCCAGTAACGGATCAGCCAGTAATCAGCCAGTAACGGATCAGCCAGTAACGGATCAGCCAGTAACAGATCAGCCAGGAACGGATCAGCCAGTAACAGATCAGCCAGTAACGGATCAGCCAGTAACAGATCAGCCAGTAACGGATCAGCCAGTAACAGATCAGCCAGTAACGAATCAGCCAGTAACGGATCAGCCAGTAACGGATCAGCCAGTAACGGATCAGCCAGTAATCAGCCAGTAACGGATCAGCCAGTAATCAGCCAGTAACGGATCAGCCAGTAATCAGCCAGTAACGGATCAGCCAGTAATCAGCCAGTAACGGATCAGCCAGTAATCAGCCAGTAACGGATCAGCCAGTAACGGATCAGCCAGTAACGGATCAGCCAGTAATCAGCCAGTAACGGATCAGCCAGTAACGGATCAGCCAGTAACAGATCAGCCAGGAACGGATCAGCCAGTAACAGATCAGCCAGTAACGGATCAGCCAGTAACAGATCAGCCAGTAACGGATCAGCCAGTAACAGATCAGCCAGTAACGAATCAGCCAGTAACGGATCAGCCAGTAACGGATCAGCCAGTAACGGATCAGCCAGTAATCAGCCAGTAACGGATCAGCCAGTAACGGATCAGCCAGTAACGGATCAGCCAGTAACGGATCAGCCAGTAATCAGCCAGTAACGGATCAGCCAGTAACGGATCAGCCAGTAACGGATCAGCCAGTAACGGATCAGCCAGTAAGAGACCAGCCAGTAATGAATCAGCCAGTAACGGATCAGCCAGTAACGGATCAGCCAGTAACGGATCAGCCAGTAATCAGCCAGTAACGGATCAGTCAGTAACGGATCAGCCAGTAACAGATCAGCCAGTAACGGATCAGCCAGTAACGGATCAGCCAGTAACGGATCAGCCAGTAAGAGACCAGCCAGTAACGAATCAGCCAGTAACGGATCAGCCAGTAACGGATCAGCCAGTAATCAGCCAGTAACGGATCAGCCAGTAACGGATCAGCCAGTAACGGATCAGCCAGTAACAGATCAGCCAGTAACGGATCAGCCAGTAACGGATCAGCCAGTAACGGATCAGCCAGTAATCAGCCAGTAACGGATCAGCCAGTAACGGATCAGCCAGTAACGGATCAGCCAGTAACCGATCAGCCAGTAATCAGCCAGTAACGGATCAGCCAGTAACGGATCAGCCAGTAACGGATCAGCCAGTAACGGATCAGCCAGTAAGAGACCAGCCAGTAACGAATCAGCCAGTAACGGATCAGCCAGTAACGGATCAGCCAGTAACGGATCAGCCAGTAATCAGCCAGTAACGGATCAGCCAGTAACGGATCAGCCAGTAACGGATCAGCCAGTAACGGATCAGCCAGTAACAGATCAGCCAGTAACGGATCAGCCAGTAACGGATCAGCCAGTAACGGATCAGCCAGTAACAGATCAGCCAGTAACGGATCAGCCAGTAACGGATCAGCCAGTAACGGATCAGCCAGTAACGGATCAGCCAGTAATCAGCCAGTAACGGATCAGCCAGTAACGGATCTCCTCTGAGCTCCTCCTGGATGATGGAGGATCTTCTCCTTCCCTCTCAGGTGGAGCCCAGAAGGTTAATCCAGCCTCTCAGCTCCATCACCATTAAGGGCTGGTTATCCTCCAGCAGCAGTGTGTCGCAGGTATGATGCAGATATTTTTGATTTATGCTAAATATTGAAGGGCGGTCTGCGCTATTTTATTCCACGCCACAAAGCTAGAGGGCCAATCAGGAACTAGCTAAGATTGTGGGCGTCCGTGTGTCGGTTTGGCGAGCTTGTTCGTCGTCTACAACCCCTCATCCAACGCCGGACGACTCACAGTTCACCCGTGAGTGTTCCCTAAAGACCGGCCGCGGCGCTGCGTGTTTTGGCTTCGGGTGCAAACCAACAGACCGTCGCTCAGAGCTACAAACTAGCGCCCTGCACGGTGTCTGGGATAGAGTCAGCGGCGTGCCAGGCGTTATGGACGGCGCTACAGTTTCTGCCATTAGGAACCAAACAGGAAATACGCAGTTAGAGCGGATGTAGAATTGACCAATCAGAGGCCTCCTGTCTGCGATCACCTACAATATTGGAGAGGTGCAGCAGAGTGTCTGCGGAAAGGGGCGGGGCATATCTGCGTTAACTGCGACACACACGCAGAGGGCCTGGTTTCTGAGCATAAACCAGGCTTTAGTTCTGTTGAGATAAAATGTCAGTGATGATCCAGGAGTGACTCCCCTCTGATGTCACAACCCTGTGACAAAGTTTATGTAAGGGGCTGGCTCCTACTGAAGTTCCTGTTGGCAGTGGCCTGCGACGGGAAGGCTAGCCACGCCGGTTCTCAGCTGAAGGCTAACGCTAAGGTCTGTGCTTGCTGGACCTTTCCTACGATTCGGAACGAGCTGATCGTAGTGACCGTCTTTTCCTGCGATTCAAACCAAGTTGAATGCAGTGAAGCAAACTGAACAACGAAGCCTAATTGCTGTTTGCAGTGGAGCCGTTAGGAGCCGCTGACCGATGCCATACTGGTCCTGCCGCTCCCTGAGACGCCGCCAGCGCCAGCTAACCACCGTAGCTAAGGGAGACGTCCCGGGCTACTGTGAGCTATAGAATAGAAATGAGAAAATCCCTTTATTGTCCCACGATGGGGAAATTCTGCTGTTTACAGCAGAGAGAAGATTATAGAAAAACTGGTCATAGATCAGATTAAGGCCTGCTCTTATTATTGCATCAGATTGATCCAAATCTCTTTGGGATTTGCTGTTGGCGAACGGACAGGACTGGGGATCGGGTTTGAGCCGACAGAACCGGGCCGAAAAGTCCATTCCGCTCCATCGAACCAAAACAGTAACGTCATCCTTCCTTCTGATGGTTGATCAATGCTCTGCTGAGCTGAACTTTCTGATTCAACCGCTGATGGTTTAACAGTTTAAACTGAATGCTAACGCTCACAGGACTGGCTAGCATCATTAGCTCCCAGCTACCTCATGCTGGACTCGTCGTACAGGCCTTTGTTTGAGCTGGACCCGTCCGGACCAGAACCCCTGGGACCAGCTAAGCTAACCATTCCACTTTCAGCCTCATCGTAGTTTAATGCATTTCTAAGTCAGAATGAAACTTCACCGTTTTGACTGCAGTTAACGTCTCTGCGTCTCTTTATTCACATTTATCTGCTGCTATTTAAAGGACACTTTCAATGCATTTAGCCTTAAAACTCAAATATTCTTCAGACTTTGAACGACTTTTAAACTCGTCTTCAACTTTTGTTTACTTGTTCTTATTTTCAGTAGTGTTCAGTGTTTTGCTTATTTATTAGATATAAAACTGTGACTGTAGCTAATAAGGGTGTCATTGTATTTTAACCGGTGGTCTTTAGTGTTTATTTTACTCGATTTATCACTCCAGATTCAGTCTTCTTTCAGTGGCATCCGAATAAAAAAAGACCCATTTCTTTTGTTGGTGATTAATAACTGGGCTGATAGCCACAGTCTAAATGACTAAATGAATGAAAGACAGATGGATTTCAAACAGCCGCATTCAGGAGTCCAACCTAAGAAAACTGGTCAGAAAGCAAATTACATTTAGAATCATTCAACTTATAATTAATTAGTTTAACTCTTGATTTAAATGACCTATTATTCTACTATAACTTCCCCTCTAATCATTGAATATATTCATAATCTTCTGGTAATCTGCTCTGATGATGAAGATACCAACACTCCTCTTATTTGGAAAAAAACAAGGGAAGTTCTAAACGAATCTTCATGCAGAGAAATGAAGGATGGAGACAGAAACAGCTAAGATCTTCCTGAACATCTCCTAAAGTTCACCTTTAAACGCGGAGCAGCTTCTCCTGAAGAACCTGAGGGAACATCTGGAGCTTCTCACTGCAGGGATCATGGCTCACCTGAAGGACACAGAGAATCCAGAGGTTAGCTCAGATGTTCTTCCAGACAAACACCTTTAGCCTCCTACAGCATTAGCATTGTCCACCGGAGCAGCTGCCCTCAGCATGATGCTGCCACCACCATGTTTCACTGATTGATTGGGTGTTCAGGGCTTTTTTAGGTTCTTCCGTGTATTTGCATATCTGCTATAGAGCTGCTGCTAAACTGGAAGCTGGACTTCTGGGTTTCCATCATGGAGGACGACCATCTTCCTGCCATCAGATGACGGGATGGTCAGAGCTCTGAGGGAAACGCAGCCATTTTTTTTTAGGTCGCGTCAACGCTAAGAATTACGGTAGTAACACCTGAGAATATATTTCAAAATAAGAGCAGTAATGTGACGCATATCTACACTTTTTTTTTTACATTTATGCCTCAGTTATTTAATAATTTCTTTAGCTTTGTGTTATTTTTGTTTTTTGTCATGACGTCACATGCTTATTTTGAAACTCTTCATGTTCTCTGTTTCCTTAGTGAGAATTGGACATTAAATGTTACTTTATGCTCTAAAACTAAGTGCGTTTTTAAAATCATAAACTTTTGGTCTAGTCTTGTTATAGAAGTTCAAATATCCAAGTGAGAAAGAATTTAAAATGGCTTTTGTTCAGAATGAGAAGCAGACGGACCTTTCATTTAGTTAGCAGCCCATTTCAAACCTTCCATTATTTCCCAAATTAAAACTTCAGGATCATCCATCAATAACATGCTGAGTATCTCCAGACTGCCAGTGCAGCAGTCCGGTCCGGTCCGGTCCGGTCCGGTCCGGTCCGTTACCTGCCAGGTCCACATCCACAGGAAAAAGAACATTAAGAAGATCCGGTTTGTCAAATTAAAACCACTGATCGGTAATTCCCAATTAGAGCATCATTCTGATAATTCCCCTCAAAAGAAAAGTGTTTAATTTAATTAAAGGATGGAAAATATTTAAACATATATATATATATATATTTATATATGTACATATGTGTGTATATCCCTAACACAAGGAGGCAGATATGTGATGTTGATCAAAATATTTATTTTATTTTAAGATTAGCTTGTTTTCACATCGTTGGAAGCAGAGAATAATCCAGGTTAGAAGAATCCAAAGTCTCCTGATGACAGAGACACAGTGAAAAGAAAAGATTTTGGCAGAAACGAGTGAGTTTGAATGATGTTATAATAAATGATGCATTCATTACCTCATAATTTGCTCTGATTAATAAAAAAAAATTATTATATCACACAAGTTCTCCTCAAGCTCCAAGGAACTCTGCAGAACAAGACGGAAGGAACCGAAGGGGCGGATTGGAACAGATATGGAGCGGATTCGATACGGAGGATGTGGGATTTCAGTGTTACCCCAAAATCCCACATCCTCCGTCTCCGCTCCGCCTGCTCCACTCCAGACCTCCTGCTCAAAGCAAAGCCCACAGCCTCCGCTGTTCCTCCCGTGCTGCTCTGCTCCGACTTCCTCACAGCTCCAGGAGAGCATCAGAGATATTATTATTAAATTCTAAGGAGAAAAACATGCAGGAATTAACGCTTAATTAAATCTGACATATTAAAAAATCCAACCATCATCCAGCAGATTCTCAAATATTTTCGTATCAATTTTAGTAACAGGGATAATTAGGATCATCGATGCTTTGGAGGAACTCTGTTCTCTGCTTCCACACTCAGCATCTCTTCATTCAGGCCTGAGATTAGAAGTTTGTTTTGAAGTTGAGAGGCGCTCTCAGGCGTTCTGACTGGATTTCATGAAACTTTTAAGCCTCTCGGTATAAAATAAATATTTTGATGGAGATGAGAAATCTGCTTCCTGGTTGTTGAAAGATCAATAGTTTGCATCCAATCATTTAAACACGGTCCGTTTTTGGGAATATTGATGAATTCTGCTCTAGTCTGTCCTTCCTATGTTTTCATTTAACAAACTGTTCCTTTTCCTGTTCGCTGTGATTGGAATTGATCTGCAAATACAAAAACTAAGGCCGTCTAATGCAATGATTGGATGCAAACTATTAATCCTTCAACAGACCAGGAGGCAGATTTCTCATCTCAACCAAAATATAAACTGTCTGGGAAACAGTTTCATTGTGGATCTGTGTTCCCCAGTTATGGGAATATGTGTCTGACATCATGAGGACATGCTGAATGGAAGGATTACTGAACCGTCTCTATTATAGATCTATAATGTCTCTATAATCCATCTGATCCACAGATAAAAGTCACCATAATCTTTTATAATCTTACTTCTTACTTCCAAGCTTGGTGTATCATGGAACTGTTGAACTTTCTGCGTTTTTATAATTTTATTTTAATAATATTAATAATGTTATATTCAAATAGTTTTTTCCTAATCCACCTCATATATTATATCTGTCAGTCCTTGTATTGTGTGCACCAGCCTGTTTCTTTGTTATAAAGAAAATGTTTGGGCAGAAACACGTGATCGATGATGACGAGTTTCGGTGATGTCATATTAAACCAAGCCTTCATTTCCGTATGTTTCGCTCCTATGAGTTTGATCAGATTATCTCTCCTGCAGCTCTGAGCGCAGCCGGCCGGGAGGAACAGCGGAGGATGCGGCGCTGCTTTGCGCTCTGGATCAGAACATTTCATGATTACCTTCAGCTGGACTCTTTCTGCGACCTTCTCTGCTCTTCTTGTTTTTACGCTCAGCTGACTCCAACGTCAGGCGGGCGCGCACGCTGACGTAAAAGCGCCGTCCCCAGCCCTGCGCGCGCCCGCCGAACCCTTTCTTTTTCTAACTTTACTGAGATTCATCAAACAGGCGGGAGAAAAAAAAATGAAACAGTAAAAATTGATGGAACTTCATTAAAGTGAAAAATTAAAACCACTGAGAGGAAATGAGATCAAAGAAACAGACCGCCGGAAGTTCACGTCACCAGAACAGAATATTATTGTTGAAGATTGAATGAAAACATGACAATTTATCAACATCCCATGAATGTGTTAAATTCTTCATTTACTGCAGTAAATATGAAATAATTTATCCACCTCAGAATTCTCAGAATTATAGATATAAAACAATAAAGTTTGCTGCTGTGTTTACCTGATCAATCAGCTTCTATTTAACACAATCAGACACATCCTGCCTGTTGGCCTAGCCGCCACTCTAGATCTACATTATTTCTTCATTAAATAAAAGTGAAATAAATTAACTTTGGGGAAAATGTCAAATTTCTGACTAAAGATGTTTTAAATTAAATATGAAAGAATTCTAAAATAAAGATAGTGTTGATAATCTTATTTTATTTAGTATTAAATTAATTCATATATGTTCCCCAGTTATGGGAATATGCGTCTGACATCATGAGGACATGTTGAATGGAAGGATTACTGAACTGTCTCTATTATAGATCTATAAAGGCCTAATGTCTCTATAATCCATCTGATCCACAGATTAAAGTCACCATAATCCAGTGGTTCCCAAAGTGTGGGGCGCGCCCCCTAGGGGGGGCGCAATGCCATTGCAGGGGGGGCGCAGGAAGCGGTATGGATAAATGAAGAAAAAAAAAAAAAAAAAAAAAACTCTGCTTGCTTGACTGAGCATAATGGACAGTTGTGACACTGTAACCCAGATTTGAGAAGATCTGCAGCAACAAGCAGGCTCACTACAGCCACTGAAAAGATGGGAGGATTAAAGTACAAAGAAAAAAACTCTCAGGGAGCTGTTCAATGTTTTCACTCCATTTTGCACAGAGGCTTTTTTAATGTATAGATTATAGCAAAGTTAAATATTGTTACAAATAAAAAAAAAAGAAATATGTTTAAAATAACACAGACAACAAAGAATCCTCTTCTAATCTACATTATAGAGCTATGAAAAAAATACAGTTACACAAAAGTTTTCCACTGTAAAGATGGTGTATAGTTTGTTTTGTTGCAACCTGAAGTGTGAAATAAACTTCAGTGGAGTTTGAAAACAAAATATGTGTATAGGTTTATTATATCTGGTTGAACGATGTGTGTGCCCTGTTGATTTTCTTTTTTTTTTTTTCGGTGGTGTGTGTGTGTGTGTGGGGGGTGGGGGCGTGGACATTTTATTGTAATCCAAAGGGGGGCCCAGAAGAAAATCTTTGGGAACCACTGCCATAATCCATAGATTAGAGCGGAGACTATATAGTGAACTTTATAGTGAACTCAGTTAACTGACCGTTCAGACACATGATCACTGCTTTTTGCTCCGTTGGTCACGTAACTCCTCCTCCACCGTGCGGTGCCGGCGCCATCTTTGTTATTAGTCGCCGCTGTGATGGCTAATCCCGTAATGCTTTCCAGCTCTCCTGGCAAAGCATTCTGGGATATATCTGCTCCTCCAGTGACCATGGATGATCTACTTTTCAAGGTGCATTATGGGAAATTTTTAGTCCACTACTTTTACATCCACTAGACGTTTGGACAACCATTTAAAATGGCGTAACCACGTCATAGTGATTAGAGCGGACATTCGGACCGTCTATATTCCAGAATAGGATGTCCATCAGAATCTGAGGAAACACTAGGCCTGAGTTTAGGCTTGTCTTATAGAGCTACGCTCTTTCACCTACAGCCATACATCTTGGGACACTAGTGTGACAAGAGGAGGAGGAGGAGAGTCTATCCATCAGCACCTGCGGTGAGATGGACCCCTTGGCAGAGGACAACGCTGGACCAAGGGTGGTAGGAGCATCTGGCAGAGATCATCCTGTCAGAGTCCAGGGAAGAGTGTCTGTCTCTGGGATCATCAAAATAAAAGCTGATTCAGTGTAAAATCGCGCTACAGCTCTTTAAACTAGAGGTGAGCCATACTGGGAGTTTTTAATCAATCCGATACCAATTAAATACAGGATCAGTCTCGCCAATATCGATACTGATCACAGTTCAACAATAATAATATTAATAATGTTGTATTCATATAGTTTTTTTACTAATCCACCTCGTATATTATATCTGTCAATCTGTTGGGATCTGGAGAAGTTCCATCTTTCTCCAGCAGAGTTCGCCGTGGATCCTCCTGAGCTGAGCCTTCGACACACCTGAGGCGCATCTCATCCTTAGAGGATCCTCCAGTATATAACCGGC